CCCCAAAACCCCAAAACCCCAAAACCCCTATCGCAAATATCGTACTATTAAGAGGAACTGAGTTTTATTTTGATAAATATATTTAGTAATATAAAAAAAGATCAATGGCAGAAGATTTAAGCAAGGTAGATTAGCTAAAGAGTCACACAAAAACTTTCTTAAAGATAATGAAATCTAATTATGCAGAAGCAATAAAACATAATAGCATTTGGTAGATTGACTTCAACAAAATTATTCACAAGTATAAGAAGTATGGGGAAGATCCATAACATATTGAAAAGATACACAAGAAAACATTGAAACTTTTTGAAGCAATAAAGAAGGAAAATCCTTAACAAAAAAAAAGTAAAGATAAGAAGAAATAGAATGGCTAGAAAAAATAGGTTTAGTTTAATGACAATGTATAGATGAAGGAGATTGATAGCTTTAACGGGAATAGGACTTGGAATGATCACAAGAAGAAAAATCTTAACAAGGGTAAATTTTCAGAAGAAGAGGTTAAGATGCTAATGAATTCAATCTGCCAATATGTTTAGGTTAATAATCTGGGAGAAGATGATTTAATTAAACTATGCTCAAAATCTAAGGAAGAGCTTGGTGAAGAACTCAAAGGTGCTTGGTGTAAAATATCTGAGAGTCTTTAAGATAGAAGCGTATAGTCATGTCATAACTTCTGTAGAAGGAAATTCAATCCAAACAACTATAATGGCAAATGGACAGAGGATGAGGAGGCTATGCTAATTGAGTTAGTCAGAGATAGGGGCCATTAGTGGAAAGAAATAGCAAATGTCATAAATGGAATGTTTGATAGAAGAGATCTAACTGATTAAAAGTTCGGAAGGACTCCTGAGAACATTAAGGATAAATGGAAACACTTAGGCGGTGATAATATTGACTATAGAAAAAAAGGTCCATGGACTATTGAAGAAGGAATTAGTTTATTAAGAAGCATCTGTATTGCCAACAATGTTTAATTGATAAAGAAAAGTAAGCAGGTTCACTTCAAATTTGACAAAGAAGGTAAAATTCTTGGCAGCAAGAGGATAAAGATTAAGGATGATGACATCTACATTTATGATAAATTCATCCAACTTGATTAGATAGTGCCTCTAATTACTAAGAAAAAAAGATGTAAAAAGGTAATTCCAACTCTGGAAATAAGTTGGACTGCAATTTAGACTGCTATAAAAACTAGATCTGTGGATGACATTAGAAACTATTGGAATCTCAAATTGCTACCATTATTAGTACCATCACTTGCAAATTTGGAATGGGAATAAGACGATGATATAGACCTGCTCAACGAGATTATTGAAATGGACGTAACTGATACTATAGATCTAGATTTTGAATAGATTGGTGAAAATCTTGACAAAAACTCCGACAACTGCCAACGAAGATGGGAAATTCTCCTTAAAGGATTAGGAGGGATCCCACCAGGAAAGAGAATCAATGTAAAGATGATTGCAAAATAACTTATTCACGATATTAAAACTAAGCAGGAAAGATATGTACCTTGGATCAGCAATAAAAATTCAAGTAGAAATGGGACAAATCAATATATAAATATCGTTGAATACTATAGAAAGCATTTCTTGGGGAAACAATGACTTTGATTACAATTCTTAATTAAACAATGATTTTACCTTAATTAAATTAAGTTTTATACGCAATATATTTATACTAGGTCTCAAACTAATCTATTGCTTATGAAACAGATATACTATCAGATTTTGACTGCTCTAAACCTCATTACATCCTAAACTAATTTAAGAAACTATTCTATATTTGTTAATTAGGTTTCTACTGTGGTTGCATACTATCTTGCCCTTATCTAAAAGCCTAATTATTATAATTCACGCTTTGCTATTATGATGTTCCAGGGTAGTTTTGATATGGATTGCTTTATATTGAATTGTTCATTGATGAATAACCTGGAAATGTTTCCTTGCTTGCTGATTGTAAACTTTATCTTAATGTAGCTGAGCTTTCAATTGGGTCAAGTCTGGCTCCCTGCCCACTAGTAGTTGCTTTTTTCTTCAGTACTCCTGATTTATGTATTCCTGGAGTAGTCTAATAAGTTATATGAATAATTTTTACCATTAAAGGGATGTTAGATTCAGCAGTAATCAGTAACTGTGCACCTTACTCAGTCATTTTAGATTTTAACTAAGCAAGTTATCTGGCATATGTTTGGGTGACATTGTCTATTTGCTCTTCAAGTATTTTACATCTTCTATCACTTTATTCTAACCTCTACTACAATTCTATCAAATCTTTGCTTCCAGTGAAAACACTTTAAATGTTCTAGCCATAATTACTATTAGTATTTTAACTATCGTTGCCAGATTTTTCACTAAACTGCCTCATTAAATTATCATATTCCCTTTCTAAGTTATCTATTCGCATTCTTTGAAATTCTAACAATTAAAGTAGCTCTGTCTACTCCATCTTATCGGTTCTCTTAATTATTTCCCCTCTAAGGAGTTTATTCTCTTGCTTAAGAATGGAGTTTTCTCTTTTGAGCATATCATAATCTAGCATTCTTTCCTCGAAATAACCACTCATCTTGTCATTTAAGCTTTCAGGCGATGCAGAATTTTTCATTTTGTTTATAAATTTAAAAATTTAATAATAACATTAATCAATTAAAATTTGAGAATTGCATCCTAAGTAAATAAACTCTAAATTATGGAGAATAATCAGCATCCTGAAGAGCAACCTTAACTCAAGCCAATTGATGAAATATTCATTGGAATCGCCACAGACTCGCTTCTAAGAGTATATCAATCTATATTCGACTCTGTGAAAGAGATCTCAAGTCATTTGAGATACTCAACAAGTAAATATTTGCATAACTTGGTTATACTGAAATATTCATTTCTATTTCAATAGTCAATCGCCTTGGAACGAAAAATGAATTTGGAGATGAGAGAATAGATATGGATGTTCAAACTGATTCATTGATCAATGATAATCTCAAGAAGTCAAAGGTAGTACAGATGGTTTTAAGTGAGGAGAGGCCCTACCCAACTATTTTGAACAAAAATGGAGACCATATTGTCACATTTGATCCAATTGATGGTGGAAATTTAATCGATAGTAATTATACAGTTGGGTCTATTTTCGGTATATGGCCAAAAGGGTTAGTTTTATTTGTTTAAATGTTCTAATAGAAATATGAATGGGATGACCGGTAGAGATATAGTAGGCGGTGCTTTAGCAGTTTATGGATCTAGGACTTCAATCATCATATATAATGCTATCAGTAAAACTTTAGAAGAATGGACTTTGAGGTTTGATGAAAATGAAAGCTTTTATTGGGAAAAGACTAGAGAAAACATTAGAGTATCAAAAACGACTCGCATTTTCTCGCCTGCAAACTCAAGGGCTATCTTAGATAACATTGCCTACAGACAGATGCTAGAGTTTTGGACGAGATCTGGTTATGTCCTCAGATACACAGGCTCCCTCTCCTCTGATTGTTATCACTTATTAATGAAAGGTGAGGGACTTTATTGTTCAATTGGTTCAAAATTACAAAAGAAAAAGCTAAGAATACTTTATGAGTGCGCTCCGATTGCCTTTTTAATCGAAAAAGCAGGTGGATTAAGCAGTAATGGAGAAGTATCAATGCTAGATGTGATAGTAGAAGGTTACTATCAGAAAACAGACTTTATTGTAGGCAGTAAAGAAGAAGTTGAGAGAGTTTAAAGATTTGTGACTGCAGAAAAAAGAAAGAAGAGATCTTAAAGTCCAGATAAAAACCCATCTAAGAAATATAGAATACAGCCTCCTGAACCGGAAGAGGAGGATATGATCTACTATTGAAGGAATTCATTAAGATCGCCTTTAGAGCTAATAAAAAATTTCATGCAAGTTTTTATCTCATATCAATTTGAATTTTTAAGCAATTAAATTAATCATCACTTTAATAAGATCTATAGTTCATAGAGGGGTTTTGGGGTTTTGGGGTTTTGGGG